TCACATAAATTGGACCATGTTGAACCTCCCATTGCTGCATCATTTGTTTATCTTCATTTTTCAATCTTACCTCCAAAGCCTGTCCAGCTGTTTCAGTAGTTGGGGAATCTGTTGTTGCATTCATTGGAGTGCAGCCAAAAGGAAGAGACGGAGAGCAGATTTTGATTTTCAGCCCTTTTTACTATTTGCAAAATAGGGTGACAGTGTCAGCTCATGCTGAATGACGGAACTGTCACAACACCCTCCTGGGTTTCACTTGTAATTGTAGTAGTTACAGACATGCGCAGAAAGTTTAGCTAATGATTTGCTGACTAGATCCATTTTACAAGCATGCCCAGAAGTTACTCAAAATGGAAATTTACTGATTATTGCAATCTCTAAAAGTGTATAGTTGTACATGTGTACAGCTGTCTTCACCTATATTAATTATTAAATCCATGCATTTGATATTTCATTGGCTGTGCAGTTTTCAAGCAGTTACATCTTCCTTTTATTAATAATTAAATCAAGTAATAAAGTTTATACTTTAAACTTATTTTATGTTTTGGTAGCATGTACAGTTCATTTGCATGTTAATTTGTGGATTACAATTGTTTATAAATCAAGTGATCATCATGTAACCACCATCCAGCAAGCCAAACGTCACAGCCATTCATCACTAAATTGGGTAAGCAACTTTCTTAAGGTTTATCAATAACATTTCTCCAACAAGCAGATACGTTTTCCAGTGTTACTTTTAAGAGGGGTTTACACACCCAAGCAAAATATGAAAATAAGCATGATATAATATGAAAATAAGAATGATACAGCTGGAGCATGAGAAAGCAGCGAGAGGTTGCTCTGTACTCTCATCAGGTGCATGAGCGAAGCTGTCCCATGACTAACTACCTGCTTGCAGGAACTGTGATCAAAACCTGCTAATGAGAATTGATAAGAACTGTGACAATGGTTCTTTCAAGTTAAGGAAATGTTTGCAACCTTCCTTATGTTAAGAAGGAAGTCAACATAAGATCAACACCAATAAGAAGATCAACATCTGGCCAGGAAACTGAGATGGAGCCAAGATAGAAGATGTCTTATCATTAATTTACAATTTTGGGACGACATCAACAGAATACTCCTATAAAAGACTCCGTCTAATAATGCTCAAAGTGTGGCAGACCTGAGGAGTCTGTTCCACCCACCATGCTCTGCTCCATGGGAAGGAGAGAGGTGGTGTATTCGGAGAGTGGCAGATTTGCACGGGAGCAGTCTGGTCACTTTGGGGCTTCTTTCTCAAGGGAAGAGGAAGAAGTGCGCACATTTGCGCCTACCCTAAAATCCTTACATTTTACCTGTCATGTCCAGCACTTTTAATTTTTATTCATTACATTTGGCCCAGCCCTAGTTTTAATTGTGTCATGATGTTATTGTTTAATGTTTTATTGTTATTGCTTAATGTTTATTGGTTTGCTTGAGTTTTGTTGTGTATTTGTTATGCTGTTGTTTTATTGAGGGCCTTGGCCTTTGTAAGCCGCACCGAGTCCTTCGGGAGATGTTAGCGGGGTACAAATGAAGTTAATAAATAATAAATAAATAATTTAGGAATCTTAGATTTTGTGCAGGGAGTCAGGTTCTGCTGTATGGAAAACGGAGATCTGGTCCTTTGCATTGTTCTTAGGGAAAGATGTTTTGGTATCTCAGCGTTTTGAAGTTATGGTGTTATTGATCTATACGTTGGCAGGCTTCAGGGAAGCAGGGTCTGGCCTAAGAGGTGCTTCTCCAAGGAGGGAGAAAAGGATATGGTGATATTTTGGACGCATGAGGATGAATGCGTGTACATGTGGTGTGAATGCTGAGTGAAAAGTGTAATTTCCCTTTGTTTGTTTGTTAACCAATGTAATTGTCAATCCAATGTAGTTCCATAGAATCTATATGTCTGTATGTCCAATGTCATTCTTTGTCTAAATGTTCTTCTGTAATCTGATATACCTTCTCACACTGGAAATTGCAATGAAAAGAACCTATGCTTCAAAGTCATTCATGACAGAAGCTGCCTTGTGTTTTCCATGACTCCTCTCCCTTTGTTTGGAAGTCACTAGCTTTGGAGGGGGCTGTGAAAATGCATTTGGGGGGGGGGGTTGTTTTTAAAGGTTTGTTTCTTTTGTTTGTGTATGTGTGTGTGTGTGTGTGGGGGGGGGGTGGCTTAGTGAAGGGAGGGGATAGCCTAACTATACAAGGGATAGCCACGGTAGTCCACGCTCTGGTTACATCCCGCCTTGACTACTGCAACACTCTCTATGTGGGGTTGCCTTTGAAGACGGCCTGGAAGCTCCAACTAGTCCAACGGGCGGCGGCCATGGTACTAACAGGAGCAGGGCGCAGGGAGCATACAACTCCTCTGCTGTACCAGCTCCACTGGCTGCCGATTAGCTACCGGACCCAATTCAAAGTGCTGGCATTGGCCTTTAAAGCCCTAAACGGTTCTGGCCCAACATACCTATCCGAACGTATCTCGGCCTATCAGCCCACCAGGACCCTAAGATCTTCGGGAGAGGCCCTTCTCTCCATCCCGCCTGCTTCACAGGTGTGGCTGGCGGGAACGAGGGATAGGGCCTTTTCTGTGGTGGCCCCACGGCTTTGGAATGCCCTCCCTATAGAGATAAGATCAGCCTCCTCGCTGATGGCATTTCGAAAAAAACTGAAAACATGGATGTTTGAGCAAGCATTCGGCTAAACTGATGCGATGAAGTTTTGATCAAGGACTGGTAATTACAGACAACGAAATTGGATTATGATTTAAGTTAAGAGATGCATTGGTCTGTATTGGTGGCCCAATACTGTGTATTGTATATGTATGTGTTTTATATTTTTATCGGAATATTGTTGTTTTTAATATTGTAAACCGCAATGAGTCGCCGTTTTAGGCTGAGATATTAGCGGTATACAAGTGTACTAAATAAATAAAATAAAATAAATAAATAACTCCCTTGAGTCCCCATGGGAATAATTCAATCCCTACGGGCTGATAGGCCGAGATACGTTCGGATAGGTATGTTGGGCCAGAACCGTTTAGGGCTTTAAAGGCCAATGCCAGCACTTTGAATTGGGTCCGGTAGCTAATCGGCAGCCAGTGGAGCTGGTACATGCAGTGGTCACATCCCGCCTTGACTACTGCAACGCTCTCTACGTGGGGCTGCCCTTGAAGACGGCTTGGAAGCTTCAGCTAGTCCAGCGCGCGGCAGCCATGTTACTAACGGGAGCGGGACGCAGGGAGCACACAACGCCCTTGTTGTCCCAGCTCCACTGGCTGCCGATTTGCTACCGGGCCCAATTCAAGGTGCTGGTGTTATCCTACAAAGCCCTAAACGGTTCCGGCCCAAAATACCTTTCGGACCGCATCTCGGCCTATGAGCCCACGAGGGCCTTGAGATCATCTGGGGAGGCCCTTCTCTCGATCCCGCCCGCCTCACAGGCACGTCTGGCGGGGACGAGAGAGAGGGCCTTCTCAGTGGTGGCCCCCCGGCTGTGGAACGCCCTCCCTGTTAACATCAGACAGGCGCCCTCCCTGATAGCGTTTCGTAAGAGCCTAAAGACCTGGCTATTCGAGAAGGCATTTAATTGAGAGCCATATAAACCGGGTAATGACATTTGGAACGGACTATGGATTATGAGAATGGCTTTGATTCCATGTTGTGATGGCGCGGATTTATTTATTAGTGTAATTTAGATTAATGTGTAATTTGATATATTGTATGTTTTGTAGACTGTTTTTACATGTTGTACACCGCCGCGAGTCGCCCCAGGGCTGAGAGCGGCGGTTAACAAATGAAGTAAATAAATAAAATAAAATAAATACCCAATCCTATCTATCTTCTTGCTTCTGTACTCTGTCCTGAATCTCTCCCCCCCCCCCCATACTTATTTATTTTAAAAAAACCTTTCTTCTAGTTCACCTCTTGACAACCATGGAGCTGTTCCTATACTGTCGCTGTGGAGAAATCCCAAAGGATACCTTATTGGAGGTTTTGTAAAGGAGACTTTATTTCTAGAAATGTTAAGAATTTCCTTTAAAAATTCTGGGTTTGCAGTAGTAAGTGTATCCCCCAAGTGTGGCCATTTTTGTCATGGTAGTCCTAAGAATGATGGAAAGGGTAGCCTCAGAAATCCCCCCATTGCTGCCAACGTGCCTGATGGATCGATAAATGGTATTTTACGCCTTCTGAATTCCGGCGGTTCCCAAAGAAATGGAACAGAGGCATCCAAAAATCGGACAATGAAAATAGCATAGTTTACCTGAAATGAACACCCTTAATATTTGTACTCCACGTTTTTTTTCTCCCCAAGGAGACTCTGGTTCCTTCTACACGGTTATATATATTATATATATACTAGCTTTATTCCAACTAATCAGCTCCAGAATGTCCTTCTTTCTCATTCTGACAACTTCTTTGGCTGGAGTGGCCAAAAGAAGAATCAATCTTCTCCTACTTCCCCAGATCCTATGATTATGGAAATTCATTCACTGTGTCTGGAGAAGAAAGCTGGCCTAAACAACCTCAATAATGAATTGAGAGATGAGGAATGAAATGTGAGGGGCGAAGGAAGATGTAAAGAAAATAATGGTACACCAAATACAGAACGAAGCTGAATTGGCCAAAATTGATTCTGACTGCAAGGTGGTAAAGAAAAGAGTGGAGTATAGTGCGGGGAAAAAATACACACTTGGAGGAATCATAGGAAGAGCTTTTAATGAAATTGGACATGCTGGAACTAAGAGGGTTGAGAGAGGGTATAGAGAGCAAAACTAACATCACAGGGATGTTAACCATTCCTTTTGCTGTCCAAAACTTTGAAATATATATGCATTTGGATGGAGTTACACTTTAAAAACATACCTGTTCCAACTAACAAACAAATTCAACTTAAGAATAAACCTACAGAACCTATCTTGTTCATAACTTGGGGGTCGCCGGTATAGAGTGCCTTCCCATTGTGAGTTCTATGATGTTTGAGTAGACCTCCATTCTGGGAGAAACTCTTTCCACACTCCGAGCATTTATAGGGTTTCTCTCCAGTGTGGATTCTATGATGTTTGCGTAGACCTTCGCACTGTGAGAAACTCTTTCCACACTCCGAGCATTTATAGGGTTTCTCCCCAGTGTGGATTCTATGATGTTTGCGTAGACTTCCACTATGTGAGAAACTCTTTCCACATTCCAGGCATTTATAGATTTTCTCCCCAGTGTGGGTTCTATGGTGTAAATGTAGTTGTGTACTCCATGCGAAGCTCTTTCCACACTCCAGGCAATGATAGGGTTTCTCCCCAGTGTGAGTTCTTTGATGTCTATGTAGACTTATACTGTGAGTGAAGCTCTTTCCACATTCCAGACATGCATAGGGTTTTTCCCCAGTGTGAGTCCTTTGATGTAAATGGAGATGCCCACTGTGCGCAAAGCTCTTCCCACACTCCTGGCATTGATAAGGTTTCTCCCCAGTGTGAGTCCTTTGGTGTAAATTGAGATGTCCACTATGCGCAAAGCTCTTTCCACACTCCTGGCATTCATAGGGCTTCTCCCCAGTGTGAGTTCTTTGATGTGAACGTAGGTTTCCATTCTCAACAAAGCTCTTTCCACACTCCAGACATTTAAAGGGCTTCTCCCCAGTGTGAATTCTTTGATGTGAATGGAGATGTCCACTGTGCGCAAAGCTCTTCCCACACTCCTGGCATTCATAGGGCTTCTCCCCAGTGTGAGTTCTCCGATGTTTATGTAGATCTCCAAGGTAAGTGAAGCTCTTTCCGCAATCCAAGCATTCATAGGGTTTCTCCCCAGTGTGAACTCTTCGGTGCGTATGTAGAGTCGCACTGTGAGTGAAGCTCTTCCCACATTCCCGGCATGTATAGGGTTTCTCCCCAGTGTGAGTTCTCTGATGTGAATGCAAATTTCCACTCTTCGTGAAGCTCTTCCCACATTCCAGGCATGTGTAGGGTTTCTCACCAGTGTGAATTCTTTCATGTAACTGCAGAGGTCTCTTCTGACTAAAGCTCTTTCCACATTCAGAACACTGATATGCTTTCTTCTCCATTTTTGTAGTGATATTTACTTTAAAATCCAACATAGACACTTGACTCTTTTTCCTCTTTCTGAACTGTGAATGCAGTGAAGAGCTCAGCAAGATCAGAAACTTCAGAGCATTTCTTCCTTTTATATGACTGGTTTCCTTACTTCGCTTTTGAATTCCAAATTCTTCAATATCCTCTCAATGTTGGATTGTTTCTCATCATGAGAAATGTGGCTCCGTAGAACGCTCCTTTCCCTGGAAGAGAAAGAAGAAATAAAAGATCAGGGATGAAAGCCAAAAACCTTTTATTCTTCCCCCTTTTCCCTTCATGGATCATGTTGAAAATGTAAATACCAATAAATGCAGATGTGAAGGGTCTCAAGGGCACACACAGAAGACAACAAATGTGTAAGGTTTCTGGGCTGCTAAAATGGTAGCGTGCGTCATTCTATCCTAGTGAGGGGAAGGAATAAGAGGAGGAATAGTGGCACCACACTCCAAAACGTTTCCCTCCATAGGTGATGTTGATGTGAATCTGGCCAGGGTGGTCCATGCCTTAGTCACCTCCAGATTGGACTCCTGTAATGCACTCTACGTGGGGCTGCCCTTGAAAACGGCCTGGAGATTTCAATTGGTCCAACGGACGGCAGCCAGGTTGTTAACTAGGGCTCCTTACGACTAACTAAGGGAGCGATCAACCCTTCTGTTTAAGGAGCTTCACTGGCTGCCATTCATCTTCTGGTCCCAATTCAAGGTGCAAGTTCTTACCTACAAAGCCCTGAACGGTTTGGGACCTGCCAACCTGCGTGACCGTATTTCTGTGTATGAATCCACGCGATCTCTTTGATCATCTGGAGAGGCCCTGCTCGCGCTCACACCTCCATCACAGGCGCGATTGGTGGGGACGAGGGAGAGGGCCTTCTCAGTGGGGGTCCCCTGACTCTGGAACTCACTCCCCAAGGATATCAGGAAACTCCCAGCAATATGTCCCTAATTGCACCTTATTAGTGATCTAGAACTGTCTGTATGCCCCATTCTTTTCCGAAATTCTATCCTAGTTATATTTCACCTGGTCTTGTCCAGCATTATTTTTAAATTTTAACTTATTACATTTGGCCCAGCCAATGGTTTTTAAATGTTACTGTGTTATTGTCGATGTTTACTGCCTATTTTTTGTTTATGAGCTTTTTTATTGTTTTGTATTACTACTGTTGTTGTCTTTTTGCTGATGTACTGTGGGCTCGGCCTCATGTAAGCTGCACCGAGTCCCTTGGGGAGATGGTAGCGGGGTACAAATAAAGCTTTATTTATTATTATTTATTATATAATACCAAGAAATGCAGATATGAAAGGTCTCAAGGGCACACACAGAAGTCAACAAAGGTGTTGGGTTTCTGGGGTGCTAAAATGAAGCCTTCCTGGTGAGAAGGAACAAGGGAGAGTGCAGGCAGTGGCGGCTGATGCAATAGGCAAATTACGCATTTGCGTATAGTGCAAACCCCCAAGGGGTGCTCTTGAGGTGCAGGGCGAGGTGAGGGCGGAGGGAGGGATGGGCCTTTGCATGCGCAACATGTAAAGATCCCTTACCTTGCCAACCAGGGTGGCAGGGCCCAGGAAGAGACAGGCTAGGTAGTTTCAGCTTAGAAGGCCTGGCAGAGAGCTGCTGGAGCCATCTTAGTTTAGGGAAACTCCAGCTCAGAGAGGGGGAGTGGCCTAGGCCTGAGCCAGCCCAGCAACAGCCAGGATTGGTTTGGAAAAGAGAGGTGGAGTTAGCCAGATGGAGGGAAAGAGAGCAGCTTAATTTGATCAGTTGAGTAGAGTGCAGTTCTGTGGAGAGTGCAGTTCTGAGTAGAGTAGAGAGCAGTTCAGTTCTGAGAGAGATTAGAGTAGGATTTGGATATTTTAGGAGACTCTGTTAAGAATAGGCAGCTTGCCTGTAGTTTTGCACAGCACAGTAGGCTGTGGCAGACTGAGTTACAGCTATTTTAGAAAAGAAAATAGCTGGGTTTTGTGTTTAAGAAATTGTAACAAAGGAAAGAACCATTCTCTCAAGTAACCATTACGCTTCTAAGAAACAAGAACACTTTTATTTGTAACAGCTAAGCCTCTGAACCTGCATTCACTTATAATTCTGTAATTTGTAATCAATAAACTCTTTCTTGTTATTTTTTTAAAATTGAAGCCTGAGTCAAGTGCCATTTTTGGTTGGAGTCATTTTCCTTGTTAAATCAACCTCTCCTGTTTTTCCCTCAAAGAAAGCCCTTGACAATACACAATATCTGGTGGAGTAAAAAGCCTTTTATTATTTTAAACAGCATTTTAACATTTTAAATAGCTAGAGGGTTCGTGTTTCTTTAGTTTATGGTGGCAGCGAAGGTTTTACATAACGAGACATCCCCTCACACACTATAAGAGCCAGAGTGGTGTGAATTCCTTATTGTCAGGAAAGACAGTGGTGGGATTCTTTGACCCCCCTGCCTTGATAACCTCTCTAAGTTATTATAATTGGTGGGGCAGCGGTGGGATTGTTTGACCCCCTGCCCAGACGGCCATTTAATTTAAGGAGGTTATTATACCACAGACCACCTGGGTGCTCTCCCTCCCCCCTCCCTCCATAACCACCCTCCCTCCCTCCATAATCACGCACGCAAGGGATGAAGCTGTCCTCTGAGCAGTAGCATCGCCTTCTTTGTCCCTCTCTCTGAGGGTCTTGCCATGGAGAAAGCACTCTTGCACCGCCTGGGGAGGCTCTTCCGGCACTGGAGCAACTCTGAGGAGTCCAAGGCGGACCCACTGCCTTCCCCATGCCCTTCCCCAGCTCTGGAGCTGTGGCGGGAGCATCGCCTCAGCGTCAGTAGCCAGGCCAACTGTGGCACCTCCAGAGGAAGGTGATGGGGTTCAGCCTCCGTGCAAACCAGAACCTGATTCTTTAATTGTATTTTCTGATGCAACTGAACAGGCCTCTGAACATGTATCTTTCCCTGATGGGGTTGAAACTGTTGATTATGAGTCCAGTGGCGGGGAAAGTGAAACTGAACTTCGTGATGAGAATGTTTTGGAATCAAGCAGTGATAGCTCTCCAGAGGGACTCACGCCTGGGTTTGCTAATGAGCACCGAAGAGTACAGATTTGGAAAAACAGGAGTGAGTCGCAGTTTCTACGAAGGTCAAATAGATTACGGGAGAGGGAGGCTTCAAAGTCTAGAGGCGTTTCAAGAAATAGTTTCTTTAGCTTAAAGGGCCTCTTCCCGGCTGTCTAGTTAGATCAAGCAACGTTTCAGACTGAGGCAGTACCTTGGCAGATTTTCTGTGTTCCATGGCCTGCATTCCAAGAGGTTTCTAGTTTTCAAGTACAGTAAGTGATGCTAACAGGTTCCTGGTTTCTGTATTGTGGCTTTTGGAATTTTGCTCAAGTTCAGAGTTTTCCTGACTGCTGTGTTTCTACTTTGCATTTACCTTTCTTTTGTAACCATTTTTCATCAATAAAGAGGATTGTTTTTTCCCATAGTCCAGTGTGGTGGATTTAATCTTATGGTCTCCTTTCCTGAACTGGGATGCAACAGTAGGAGATCAAGGAACTAGCCAAGGCCAGGGTCAGCAGGACAGCTTGCCCTCCTCACCCTCCTACTCACTGCATCTCCCGTTCAGCGCCTCGGAGCCCAGCACACCCACCAACAGGTCTGGGCCTTCCTTGCAAGGACTCTCTCTTCAGAGAGGAAAGAGGGAGTAGGGACTTTTGGGTCTTGCAAGGACCCCCTATCTTTTCAGGGAGGGAGGGTCTTCCAGCTCTAGAGAGCCTCTGATTCTCTCTTCCGCCTTCTCCATGGACCCGTTAAGGCAGGCTTGGGTCAAGTTGGGTCCTTCTTCGGGTGTTTTGGACTTCAACTCCCAGAATTCCTTAAGCGGCTGAGGGGGAAAAGGAAGGGGCCTGAGGCTGTAAGGAGTGCTGGGAGTTGAAGTCCAAAACCCTTGGAGGGCTTAAATTGACACAGGCCAGCTCTAGAGGTGCCCTTCGAAGGCAGCAGCATATTCTGCTGTGTAACTTCTCCTCCTTAGGTGGAATCTCGACCTTTTATTTTTCAGTGATTGGTTTTGGAGGGTGGGGCGCCAAAATACTGATTGTCTACACTTGAAAATCACTGTTGCTTTTATAACAACTGTTAAGAAACTGTTTCCCTGGTAGGAGGAACCCCAAGGCTTAATAATTTATGCCTAAAACTGCAACTCCAAAAACAACAAAACTTTATTTATATACCACTCTATCTCCTCGAGGGGACTCAGAGTGGTTTCCAAGTAACATCATCAATACATACAGAGTAAACAACACAAACATAAAATTAACAAAACAATATAAGCATTAATGTATTGTCGAAGGCTTTCATGGCTGGAATCACTAGGTTCTTGTGGGTTTTTTCGGGCTATAGAGCCATGTTCTAGAGGCATTTTCTCCTGACGTTTTGCCTGCATCTATGGCAAGCATCCTCAGAGGTAGTGAGGTCTGTTGGAAGTAGGACAATGGGTTTATATATCTGTGGAATGGCTGGGGTGGGGCAAAGAGCTCTTCTCTGCTGGAGCTAGGTGTGAATGTTTCAAGTGATCACCTTCATTAGCATTAACACCTCCCAGCAACAGATTTTCCCAGGCTCAGGCAGGCCTTCAAATGCTAATGAAGGTGATCAGCTAAACATTCACACCTAACTGCAGCAGGGAAGAGCTCCTTGCCCCACCCCAGCCATTCCACAGATATATAAACCCATTGTCCTAATTCCAACAGACCTCACTACCTCTGAGGATGCTTGCCATAGATGCAGGCGAAACGTCAGGAGAAATGCCTCTAGAACATGGCTCTATAGCCCAAAAAAACCCACAAGAACCTAATATAAGCATTACATTGTCACAGTAACACATATATATTAAAAGTAATCCTGCCCGTTCAAGGCAATTTAAAAGGCTGGGCCAAGGCAAGCTCAAAATTTCTAGGGGGCCCGCCTGGGAAATTAAGTGCAGTGCTATAGCAGGCAACTATAGAACACCAATATGCTGATGACAACGTTGTCTGTGACATTCAGAAGACCTACAAGCTACTCTAAACAGCTTTGCAGAAAGATACGAGAAGCTCGGCCTCTCACTGAATATCGATAAAACCAAGGTGCTGTTCCAGAAGTCACTAGCCGATCCCTCTCCAATGCCAGAAATACAGCTTAAAGGCGTAACGTGAGAATATGTTGACCATTTCCACTGCCTTGGCAGCCACCTCTCCCCAAAATCAACATTGACA